GCAACAACAGACATCCTTGTCTTGTTCCTGGTCTTAAATAAAGAGTCTTCAGTCTTTCACCATTAAATATGTGGCTGTGGCTTTTTTGTAAATGCCCTTTATCAAGCTGAGGATGTTTCCTTATATTGCTAGTTTGTTGGAATACTTCGTGTTGGAAATGAAGTACTGAATGTACAAGTGCTTATTCTGTATTTAGTGATCATGTCATTTTGTCCTTTATATATTAATATGGTATATTACATTAATTGATATTCTTATGTTAAACCAACTTTGCATTCCTGAGATAACTCCAACTTGGTTATGCTGTATAATTCTTTTAATATGCTGCTGGATTTAGTCTGCTAGTACTTTTTGAAGATTTTTACATCCATATTCATGAGATATTGGCCTGAAGTTTTATCTTCATGCCCTTTTCTGGTTTTGTTATCAGGGCAATACTGACCTCATAGAATGAGTTGGAAAGTGATTCTTTCTTTTCTGTTTTTTAGAAACATTTGAATCTAAAGTGTGTCTCTTACAGACAACATGTAATTGAGTCTTGATTTTTTTAATCCAGTGTGACAATATCTGCTTATGATTGTTTAATCCATTCACACTATTATTATTGATCTAGTTAGATTTATGTTTGCTATTTATTTTTTAATCCATTTACATTTAATGTTGTTATTGATCTAGTTAGATTTATGTCTGCCATTTTATTTGTGTTTTCTATGTATCTCATGTTTTCTGTTTTTTGTGTTATTTTCTTAGTGGTTGCTGCAGGGCTTACCAAATACATCTTAACCTATTAGAATCTACTTTAGATTTACACTAACATAATTCCAGTGAAACACAGAAATATAGAATATAGAAAATGTTGCTTCTATATAGCTCTAGTCCCTCTTCTTTTCTTGTGCTATTATTATTATACAAATAATCTATATATGCTACAACCCCCAAATATATTGCTGTAATTATTACTTTATATAATTGCATGGTTATTAAGTAAACTGAGAAGAAAAAATGGCAAGTATATATTTATGAAGTATGTTATGTTAACCTTCTTATTTACAGTTTCTGGTTCTCTTCATTTGTCCTTTGTGAATTCAAGTTACCATATGACACCATTTCTTTATCCAAAACAATTTTGTTTTCACCTATCTCCTTTGTGTTATTTTCAAACATATTACATTTCTGTATGTTATAGGCCCCCCAAAATAGTTATATCATTTATACAATTGCTTTTTAAATCAGTTAAAATTCAGAGAAGAGGACTGGACATGGTGGCTCACACCTGTAAAGCCAGCAGTTTGGGAGGTGAGGCAAGAGGATTGCTTGAGGCCAGGAGTTCAAGACCAGCCTAGGTAACACAGCTAGACCTTGTCTCTACAATAAATAAAAAAATGAGCTGGGCATGTGATAGCATGTGCCTATGGTTCCAGCTAATTGGAAGGCTGAGGTGGAAGGATCACCTGAGCCCAGCAGATCACAGCTACATTGGCCATGAACATGACGCTGCACTCTAGCCTGGGTAACAGAATGAGACTCTGACTCAACAATAAATAAATAAATAAACAAATAGAGAAAAATCAGAAAAGAAATTGTATTTATACTGTCTTTTATAATTACATATTTACCTTTGCTGATACTCTTTGTTTTTCAGTTTGAATTCCAGTTATCACTCAGGGGTCATTGGTTTTCAGCCAAAACTTCTTTTAATACTTCTTGTAATGCAAGTCTGCTAGCAATGGAACCTCTCAGTTTCTGATTAACTGAGGATGCCTTAATTTTGCCTTCATTTTTTAAAAGATAGCTTCATAGATATAAAGATATAAAAATAGCTTCATAGGTTTTTCAGCATTAAATATATATTCTGGCCTTCACTGTTTCTGATAAGAAGTCAGCTGTTAATTTTATTGGGGTTCCTTTGTATATGATGATTCAAATTTTTCTCTTGCTGTTTTTAAGATTCTTTGGTTTTCAGCATTTTACTATAATGTAGCTATATGTCGATCTCTTCACATTTATCCAACTTGAAATTCATTGAGCTTCTTGGATGTGTAGATTCATATTTTTCAACAAATTTGGGGATTTTCAGTCAATATTTCCTCAAATATTTTTTATGCTTTTTTTCTCTCCTCTCCGACTGGTATTTCTAGTAGGCGTACATACATTAATGTGCCTAATGATGGCTCTGTTCTCAAGTGGGTCTGAGGCTCTGTTAATTTTTCTTCATTCTTCTTTCTCTCTGTTCTTTAGATTGTATGAGATCTAGTCGTCTATTTTTTTTTAAAAGCAGGATTTATTGAGAGGATAATAGAAAAGCTCCCAGAGCAGGTGAGGACCCAAGGGGGTTGCCCTATTTTTAAGTTTTTTGTTTGTTTTGAATTGGTCTCACGATGTCACCCAGGCTGGAGTACAGTGGCACAATCGCTGCTCACTGCAGCCTTGACCTCTTAGGCTCAGGTGATTCTTTCATCTCAGTCTCCTGAGTAGCTGGGACCATAACCACATGCCACCACACCCGGCTAATTTTTGTTTGTTTTTTTTGTAGAAATGAGGTCTTGCTATGTTGCCTAGTCTTCCTATGTTGCTGGTCTCAAAGTCCTAGGCATGAGCAATCATCCTACCTTGACCTCCCCATATGCTTGGGTTACAGGGGTGAGCCACTGTGCCTGGTAAGAGTTTCCATATATTTATTTGTTTGTTTTTATTTTTGGTAGAGAAGTGGTCTTGCCATGTTGCCCAGGCTAATCTCAAGTTCCCAGGTTCAGGCAATCCTCTCGCCTTGGCTTCCCAAAGTGCTGGGGAAAGGTTTCTTTTAAAATGTTCACTAAGGTGTCAGATAATTTATACACTAACAGCAAAGTCATAAGCCTTATTATGAGTGAGGGAAATAGACTTCTATGAAATAATCTATTTAATATGTACAAAAACATTACCTGCCCAAAAGTCCATTTGACTATGTAGGTTTTCCATTCAAAAGCACATATTTTTCATATGATTCTCCACTAGCAACTAACACTGCCAATCAAGAGGAACCATTATATTAAGAAGTCATACTGATATAATGGAAAAGACAATGTGGAATGCAAAAACAGACAGACAAACCTAAATTTGATTATTGGCTCTGTCATTGTATAACCTTGACAAAGCTAATTAACATCTGATCAATATATTTATCTGAAAAAGTAGAGGTGTGTTATACCCAAGTCACAGGATTGTTATGAGAGTCACATGTAAAAATGCCTAGCTCTCAAAATACTAAAAAGAATAATAATACCACAAACAAACAAAAATAACAACTACAGTGTGATTGTGGTATCCAGCCTTTTTCTAACTGCCTCTTTTTCTCCTTTCCTGTGAGTAAATACTGTCCAAGTCTGTCCTTATTACAAAGTGAATTGTGAAATAGATAAAATTTCTGCAATTTTAGTTATGGACCTCAAGGTTCTAACTAAGGCCAGGTGTTCCCAAATCTACTCATTTATTAAATTCCATTTATACCCTTAATAGCATCTAATATCTAGGAAAAATTTTTGCAAAATTCTCCCAAAATTCCTGTAAAATCCTAGATCCTGGCAGACAGCAATAAGAAGAGATTACCAACTCCTGGCCTTAGGAGTCTCTTGAGGTTTGATCCCTTGAACTAAAATACTTCTGAAAGTTGTGAAAGATAAAGAGAGTCTACAGAAAATAACAAACAAAACAAATCCTAGATAGGAAAATTTTCCTTTTTCCTGATTTAACTCCCTTAGTTCCACTTTCTTCCAGTCCTGAGCTAAGGACTTAAAGCAAGCGATCCCATTACAAATTGAAGCAACAGAATATATACCTCAAAAGTTATTTCCTTTGAGGAGCAGGTATACCCACGTGAAAAGCAGATTTGCTTTCAAAGTAAATAACAGCAGAAGATTGGTGTTAGACACTTAACACTCCAATCTCAACAGAAACCATCTTTGTCTACACATTTTCTTTCTTTCTTTCTTTTTTTTTTTTTTTTTGGAGACAGGGTCTCACTCTGTTGCCAAGGCTGGAGTACAGAAGCGCAATCATAGTTTACTGTAGCCTTGATTTCCTGGGGTCAAGCAATCCTACTGCCTCAGCCTCCTGTGTACCTGGCACTACAGGGGTGCACTACTGCATCCAGTTAATATTTTTATTTTTATTTTGTAGAGACAGGGCCCTGCTAAGTTGCCCAGGAGTCTCTGCCTTAGCCTCCCAAAGCACTGAATTACAGGCGTCAGCCACCATGCCTGGCTTCTTTGTTTACACATTTAACAGCAACTGAAAAGTAGAGGCTAATAGCACCCTATCAAGAAGGGAGTTCAATTCTATCACTACAAAATGAAAAGTTACACATTTGTTTTCCTTAGATACTTCCCTATGAAAATCTATTCTTTTTTCGGTAATATACATGAGAAATTTTCCAGTTTAGTAAAAAGGGCACTGAGAAAAAGCTTAGCTTTGGACTGTTTAATCTCTCTTAAACCAAATACCCTCCTCTATACCCTTGCTATTCAAAGTGGGGTTCATAAACCAGCAGAATTGACAATCACTTGGGAGCTCGTTAGAAATGCAGGATATGAGGCATGCTATGCCCCCATATAGGCTACTACTATATCCCAGAACTGGTAAAACAGAATCTGCATTTTAATAAGATATCACATGATTTATATGCACATTAAAGTGAAGCACAGCTCTATACAATCAAGGAATATGACGATCTTAAGGTCCCTTTTGGTTGTTTTAAATGAAAACTCTTATCTACAATCTCGGAGTCTATATTCTGCCACAGCAAGAGTGAGCTGGAGCTGAGATGAGGTGTGCACTCTCTTTACCTCCTCCAGTCCTACCAAGCCTCTTCATCTATTTATGTTAACTGCTTGGCTCCTGCTGAGCCTCCAAATTAGATTCCAAGCAGAATTGAGAAAGTCCCCTTTTTAGTAAAAAACAGATGTCCTCAGATATAAAAACTCATTAGCTACAATTTTAGGTGGAAAAAAAAATTGCTTACTTACCTTGATGGGAAATAGTGAGGTCCAGGAAGGAAGTAAGGGTGATGAAAAGAGAATCTCGGTGGTGTCCCAAAAAGTGTGGCTGGGTGGCCAAGGGGAGAGGGCTGGTAGACATGTGAGTGTGGAATGGGAGGAGCCTGAGGGATGGGAGCACTTCTGGGACAAGTGGTAATGCTGGAATACTCCTTGGGAGGTTGGATGGTCGGGGTTGCAAATCTGGCATGGACAGTACTTGCACTCGTCGGAATCCTGTCGGTGCTTTCCAGAGAGACAGGGGTGGGTCTTTTTACAGAGCGACTGGCTCCAGAATGTAGCCGATGAGTGTCCGTTTGGGAAGGCCCAGCAAAGCCTTGGGGTGGCAATCCTGGGTGGAGGGGCAGACTTGGAGCCTGGACGGCCACCTGGGCAGCACTGGAGACGCTGGGTTGGAAAAGAGTGATGGGGTTTGGACGCTGGACTGTAGGTGTGGGCAGTTGGATGGCAGGTGGGGCTTCACCTTTAGAGACAAAAATAGCATAGGTCAAGAATTAACTGAGTCACTCCATGCTTTTCTTCTTTCAGTAAAACTTAATAAAGTGTGCAAACAGAGGCCTTATTAACCACCTTACCTAAGAACATCATCATATGAAACCATTCTATTTCCTTTAGAGCATTTTGAACAAACTGAAGTCATCTTGTTTCATTTATTTATACTTTTTGTCTCTCTTTCCTAACTAGACTCTAAATGCCATAAGCAGAGAGACTTTTCCGTTTTGTTCACTATTGCATCCCCAGGGCACAAAATTCTGCCTGGCACAGAACAAGTTCTCAACAAATATTTGTTGGGTGAATAAATAAATGAATAAAATTATTGATTGATAAATTGAAAGACTGGATACACACAAATGCTTATATGCATATATAAATGTTTCTTAAAAACAATATGAAACAATTGACAGTAATTATCTATAAGGAGCCATCATCTAGGAGAGGGGACAAGACAGTGGGGTAATAGGAATAGTCAGACTTTCATTTTACATCTACTGGTACTACTTAAATTTTTTTGTCTATCTAAATATATTAATTTTATTTTTAATATTAATAGGAATTTCAGAGTAGTGGTACGGATCATTTTTATTTTGTAAAATTCTCTATATTAAATACTAGATAACATTTAAGTTTTTGGTTGAAAAAAACTTAAAAAATTTTAAAAATTGTTTTACTCTATTGAATTCCATATGAATACAGAAGGAAATTTCCAAGTGAGACTAGGAGTGGGCACAGGTCAGTCATTTATGACAGATTTGAAAAGAATACTCTTGCAGCAGGCCATGATGGGTATGGCAGAACTTTTAAAGGTAGGTAAAACAATTACGTGTTTTATCATTCTGTTCCTGAAGAAGACACAACTACTGATTGAGTTACTAAATTACCCAAATCACATACTTAGCTCAAATTTAACTAAATCGTCCTGAAGAAATATTCATAGATGTTATAGCAACAGAGTAATAATTCAGTTTATTCCAGAACAGTTAGGCATTCATTAATAAAGAAGATGCAGACCAAGAACACACTCTGTGGTTAGGTAAGTCTCTTTCAGAGGCCATAAGAACTCTCTCTCCTTCCTTCTTTCCAGATAAGGCGGATAAAGCCCCTCTTAAACCTGGAAGTTCAGAATTAAGGAATATATCCATTTGTTTCAAGATAGCCTCTGACTCAGTGAGGTAGAGAAATAGGGTATAAGGAAGCTATCTTGATTCTCAGTTGATGAGGTTACATGGCACAGCCCTAGTCAGAACATTCCTAATTTATCAAGCACAAGGAATTTCCCTCCTCCATGTTCCCTCCAAACCCAATAAATATATCACAGCCACTCTTACCACAATTACCAAACTGGGAGTTTGAGAGCAGTAATTCTTAATTCCTGTTCATATTCTAGTATCTAGCACAGAACCCAGTTAATAAAAATAGTTAAGAAAAGTACGAATGGATGAAAGAATGAACAACAAATGAGCCTTTAGCTGATAGTACTTCTACCACTGATCCAAACTTACTGTAAATAACTATGAAGCCAGGCTGATTTGCAAAATCTGTCAAAATTTTATTAGTTGGATTATCACTGTATTCAAGATATTTGCTGCAAAATTCTACCTCTGCAGCAGATTTCTTTTTCCTACAGCCAGTACAAGAAGCTCTTAGTCCTCAGTAAAGAAGTACAGTCTTTCTAGGCAAAGAAAAAATAAATTACAAGAGCTGAACAAAACCACTGACCACTGATAAAGTTTCAATGATCAGAAGAAAGGGATGTATCTTTTACTAAATGCTTTTTATTCCCTACCAAAGATATTCCTGTAAAAGATGAAGTATAGGGTGATAAACGTGCATTCATTCAATCTAACAAATATTCCTTAAGCAGCTAGCATGTGCCAGGTTCTGTTTTGGTCTGAAGTCAAAAATTAGATACAAAGAAAGTTATATGGAAGTGCAATGAAGATGTTCTAAATGTCAAAATTCAGGTAGCAAGCTGAAGGTTAAAGTCTGCAACATCCAATCACCTCTGATAAACTGTCAGTGAATAGGGAAGAATTAAAAGCAGAGCTTCTAGCCGGGCTCGGTGGCTCAGCCTGTAATCCTGCGCCTTTGAGAGGCTGAGGTGAGTGGACTGCCTGAGCCCGTGGGTTCGAGACCTGCCTGGGCAGTGAGAACTCATCTCTACAATAAATCAAAAAATCAGCCGGGCATGGTAGCGCATGCCTGTAATTCCAGCTACTTGGAAGGCTGAGGCGGAAGGATCGCCGGAGCCCAGCAGGTCGAGGCTGTGGTGGCCGGGAATGGCTACTGCACTCCAGTCTGGGTGACAGAGTGAGACTCCAACTCAAAAAAAAAAAAAAGCAGAGCTTCTAATGTATCAAACTGCAGCCAAGGTATAATAAAAACTAGCCAGTCACCTGTTTTCTCTTCTTCTAGCACACAGCTAGATGACATTTCCCAGCCTCCCTTGCAGTTAGGAGTGGCCATGTGGCTAAGGGCTACCAACAGAATGTAAGTAGAAATGGTGTACACCACTTCTGGGATTGACCCATAAAAGACTCATGTGTGATCCTCCATTCTCTTTCCCCTTTTACAGGCATCCGCACACAAGTACAGTGACTTTGGATGCTACACGTTAAAGATGGCAAAGAGAGAGGGTATAAGAAGCCTGGGTCCATGAATCACCTTTTGGAAGGATGCTATCTACCAACCAGAAATGACCATTTTTGACTTTACAGAGTAAAAAATAAACTTTAATAATATTTCAATCACTCTATTTCAGAACTTGTTAAAGCAGCTAGTATTATCTAATTTTTACACCATATAAAGAGCAGGATTTTATATCTGTAATATAGTATGACAAGGATAAAAGAAAAAAATTATAGGTTTAAACAATTCCTGCATGTCTCCCACCACCGACTTCCAAAGAGGGGAATCCTTGCTAAATAGACAAAGGGTGCCCCCAGGCTTAATGTTGTGTGACTGGCATGAACATTGAAACAGTAGGGAATGGAAGAAACTGAGGACAGATCAAATGTTTCTACAAGAAAAAGCTTTAAGGAAGTAATAAGGAAAAGAGGACCAGCAGGTAGCCAGGGAGCCACAGGGGCGCTGGGAAGGGAGAGAAATACAGCAAGAGACAAATGGAGAATGGAGAGTTGGGAATAATAGCTAGGCAATTGCTAGGAAAAGTGGGGCTCTAGAGAGAGAAAAAGGCAATGAGGAGCCCCAAGAAAACTTACACTATGTTGAATCATGTGATTCCTTCTTCCCTGCCTCTTCATGAAAACTTATGGTAAAGAGCTTCAGAACTTTTCAAAAAAACTTTGAGTCATATTTGAGTTTCCTATGGACAAAACACTGCTGGAATGGACATTAAGGCTAGAACAAGAAGACCAGCTTTTTCTGCATTATAACAGTATCCAGAATCATGGAAGTTTTTGTTTTGTTTTGTTTAAGCAAGAAGAGATAGGTAAACTAAAATGGCATATGTCTATTACTAAAACATTAAAATAGTAGTAAACTTTTTAAAATTAAAAATTTAGAGAAAATGTATGCATTCAGAAGAGCAAAAGATGTCAACTGAGTCAAGCTGTAATATGAAAAGTCAACTTTAGGTTTGAAAAATAAAGTATAGCAAACAAAATAATCAAACCTGAAAATTCATATAAGTACAAAGTAATATTTAAAAGCCCAGTTAAAATAAATACAGCTTTTACCAAAATTCTAAAAGCCTTTACATGAATTTTTAACATTAATATAAAATAAAGATCTGGCCTAACTAGTATCAAATGTGCTAAATAGTAAATATCTAAAGAGATTTACAGACTATCATGCTATAAGCACTTTCAGAAACTGGAAGCAGAAGAAGAGTTTGGTATATGATATTAAATGTGAGAGACAGAGTAAACATAATGCACTGGACATAAAAATAACACCAGACAAGAAAGGTACTATAGATTCTTTTTTTTTTTTTTTTTTTACTTAAGTAGAGATGGGATCTTGCTATGTTGCCCAGGTTAGTCTCAAATTCCTGGCCTCAAGTAATCCTCCTGCTTTGACCTTCCAAAGTATTGGGATTATAGGAGTAAGCCACCATACCCAACCATGATTCTATCAAATAACTAGTAAAAGTACTTGTATTGGTATCTATTCTATGAACTCATTGATGACAAAGGCTATACAAATATCTTTGTATTTTGTTCCTAGCACAGAGTTTGCCCCATTAAAGACACCTGCACTCATATATTTATCATAGCATCATTCACAATAGCAAAGTCAAGGAATCAACCTAAGTGTCCATCAATGGAAGACTGGATTTGAAAAGTTACGTGTGTGTGTGTGTGTGTGTGTGTGTGTGTGTGTGTGTGTGTGTGTGTGTGT